AAGGCAGAATATATTTTCCCTCTCAGAATAACACTCCTGCCAGCTTTCAAAATAAGTTATTTAGAACGTGACATTGGTAGAAAGCTACTTTGCTGTACTGGCAAAAATCAAGAATGTTTGATGTAGCTATGTAACATACACCTGTTACTCAACTGTACTGGAGCTGTTCCTATGTAATAACTGGATACATAGCTTATCTAGATTGTTGAAAACAAAACATCGTAGTATGTCTCAAAAGCAACTGCCAACAGTATTTGAGAAACAATGGGCTTCTTGTTGACTCAGTTTCCAGCAGAATTGAAGAGATGACAACATATTTCCCAAAATCTAAGTCCTTATCCTTTTGTAATATGTCTTTAGCCTATCCAGATCAATTTGGGGAAAGTTTTTGTTGGCTTTCATATTTTAACATACCCCAAAATTTCTTTCTCAACTGAGATATGGGAATGCATCCCTGACACTTCATGAAACTACAGATCTCTATTTTAACCTATCACGCAACCTCAGTTCAGTGACCTGTCCTGTCTCAAGACATTCTGCTGTCTGAGGCAAAGGATGCCACATTCAGGAGCCAACCAGCTGTGAATCTGCTATCTCTCTCTATGAGCCAGCTAAGAGGTTAAGATCTTCTGGGGAGACCTGCTCTCGGCCCCGCCTCCTTCACAGGCACAATTGGTGGGGACGAGAGACAAGGCCTTCTCAGTGGTGGCCCCTCAGCTTTGAACTCCCTCCCTAGTGAAATTAGATCAGCCCCCTCCCTCCTGACCTTCAAGAAAAGGTTAAAGACATGATCTGGGACCAAGCGTTCGGCTAGTAAGTGCAGTAAGAGAATATGGAACAGTGCAATGACAATTTGGAACTGTTGTGGACAATGATATTGGATTAGGTAAAGGTTTCCCTTTGACATTAAATCTAGTTGTGTCCGACTCCGGGGAGTGGTGCTCATCTCAATTTTTAAGCTGAAGGGCTAGTATTGTCCGTAATGGTCAGCATGACTGCAAGAGCACCGTTACCTTCCTGCAACGCTGTACTTAGCAAAGGATGGATGGAATTAAAAACTTCTGTCATCCAGTTCTACTGTCTTCACCTTTCAGCTTTCGCTCTACTTCATGAGAAAGCCACTGTGACATATCTTCAGCGATTTCTATTCTGTTGTTTCCAACTAAAGTTTGCACTATTTTCTACACTAAAACATATCCAAAAAGTATTTTATTCAATACAACACAGATCCAGCTAGTCATTTTGCCTATCCTTAGGCCTTGACCAGATTGATATGCTTCAAGATATTCAGTTTTGCCATCAATTATCAACTTTGGGGAAGAGGGTCCTTTTTAAGGTAATGAATTTCTACTATGCATTCATCTACTTCCTTTGTCTTTCTTGCTCCTGGAAAGAAAACAGTAAACAAGGCATAAAAAGCATACAAGCTATTTCTTTATTTACATACCCTAATTACCATTTGTCTTTTTTTACTTCACTTTCTGTTTTCTTTGCTTCATTCCTTGCTTCTCTTCTTTTAATTCCAGGATCAAATTTCTGAAAAATAAACTGATAAGTACTTCAGACCATAAGTCAAGAAATGTTAAGATTGGGAAATAACCTGAAATCATTGGAAGAGAGGGAGATCAGAATCAGAAGCTCTATATGGGAGGATAGAGCCCATTGGCAAAAAACATGGAATATTGCCCAGTGACTTTATCGATGTGCAGTTCTCTCTTCTTGCAAATTACACCTGAGATGCTTGTTCCTCTTCTGATCAGACTGGTGTTTCAGGTAGAAAAAACAAACATTAATATTGTTTTGTTTTTGTTTTACAACAGCACAAACATTTAACTGGGCAACACATATAATATCTGATTTTTCTATTCAAAAACAAAGTTTACCAGCATCAGTATTATATGTGAAGCCTGTATGAGCCTCAAGTTAAATGATGCATAAGTTCAATGGCACAAAGCCATTTTTTTTAAAAGAACAAGTCTTTTAAAAGTGTAAGTAGCTGAAAAAAGATACTGTCTTTGATGTTTGTTCTCTGGTGGCTGCTTCGCTTCAAAGTGGAGTTATAATGCAGTAAACTACTGCTGCTTGTGTTATTTATTTTAATATCAACAGATGTTAAGAAAACATGGGGTACATCCACATCACAGAATTAATACAAAATTAATAGTTCAACATCACTTTAAGTGTCATAGCTCGAAGCTATGGAATCCTGGGATTTATAGCTTGGTAAGGCATCAGCACTCTTTGGCAAAGATGTCAAAAAGTCTTGTAAAACTGCAACTCCCATGATTCTATAGCATTGAGCTAGGGCTGTAAAAGTGTGGTCAAACTGCATTTCAGGGTGTTGTTATTTGGCTCTCAGAATGTTTAAATTACTGCATGTTTTGATTTTAATTTTATTTTTGTTTTTTATGTTGCATGCCAACTCAGGGTCTTTTGGCAGGAAGACTCTCTCTCTCTCTCTCTCTCTCTCTCTCATTCTCTCTCTCTCTATATATATATATAACATTCAGGTGCAATTTTACCAAATATGTCATCATGCTGTTATTGCTGTGGTTACTATAGTAACATTATGATATCATAAGGTAGTACAAATCCTTAAGTCTGATGAATACCTCAAGGATTTTGAGCCATTTCCCCAAGGCCCTCATTAGCATATCAATCTTTTACGATGTTTTCCAGCAAATACTCTATGGCTTCCTCTAAACAATCTTCATTCCCTCTCTCCTCTTCATGTTGCCTACATGTACCAGCTGCATAAGTTCTGAGTTGCAAATATGTTCATGATGCCGGAGAAGAAACAGTCAGATTTAGAATCTCCTAAGAGCCTCTGTGAAAAAAGCCCCAGGTTTCACATTTATTTATATTAGTGGTTTATCTGCTGTTTATATTTATGTGAGATGCTTAGAATTCTCTGCTAGAGACCACTAATGTTGCAATTAGAATAGTTCATTAGATCTAATTATAGTGGTGTAATTAGATCAAACTAGAACACTCTAAGGTTGGATCTCCACTGCCATATAAACCAGTTTCTGAACCGGGTTATCTGCTTGGAACTGGATTACATGAATCTACATTGCCATATAATCCAGTTCAAAGCAGACAATCTGGATTCAGAAACTGGATTATATGGCAGTGTAGATGAAGCCTAAGGACCTTTGCCATTACCCCATTATAATGGTTCCACTTTATCTGCCATGACAATATCATATGGAATCTTGATATTTTAAATTTAGAGAGGAGCATTTAAAATTATCAACAAGAAAAAGGACAGATTGAACAAAAACTGAAAACAGAAATATCTGATTTGATTACAAGCACAATGCACAAACATTTTCCAGAAGCGGTAGGTACTGACATTCATTTCATCCTACACCAAGAACCCATTTATTAGAACAGTTGGGACAACTTTAATGTAAGTCCCTACACATATGTAAACCTTTGCAATACATATGCACAAAAACATATTATACAAACATTACAGACATTATAAAATATTTTTTCTTAGGTGGATATCCTCCCTGTTCCCGCCCATTTTTGAATCATTAATTAATTACACTTTGTGGTATACTGATGCTAGTCATGCCACTCCATTTGACTACGCATGCTTTGCCACAGACATTTTAGTGGTAGTAATATATTATTCTTACAAATATTAATTTGTAATGCTCACTATTAGTAATGAATTAAATTTTCTGGTTCTCTGGAGTTTGCTTCATAAAATATTATAAACTGAGGAGGGAAGTTGGACTCGAATTCTCCAATGCTTCCTAATAAAATCAGTGCAACCTGAATGCAACTAATTTTATGCTATGTCACCAGAAATTATTTCAAACTGTAAGGGGAAAAAGCATAGGTTGCATTTCCTCTTTCAAAAATGTACTTCCTTTTTTCCTTCCATTGCATATTGAGTGTGATCCCTGCTTGACAGAAATTTCTTAGAGATCTAAATATTAGTAAGATTTAGTTGAACTAAAATGGAAAGGTAAACATCATGATGCAGCCCCACTTTCACACTTCAATACAGCCTTCATCTTAGATATGAAGAATCCAAACCTATTTGCAAGACCAAAACTACAATTCTGATCTGTTACTGCTTTGCCACTGTTTTGATTTGGTGCTAGATGTTAGCTTTGGAACACAAACCATGTTTTCATGAAGGCCAAAAGTATTAGTTCAGGTGGGCAAGAAGGCGAATCTTTCCCAAAGCTTTGTTTAAAAGTCCTTACATGCTAAATCCCTATCTCTTTAAAAAAACCCCTCAGATATACATATTACAACACAAAGAATGCAAGTGAGAGTCACATAAATATGTGGATGCATAAGCCCTTTCACAAGCTATGTGCCACAGTACAAACTTATGTTACATGTGAAACAAATTCTTCAGTAAACTTCTGAATTTTTCTTTTGAAATAGTTGGTTCTCACGTAGAAGCTTGTTTTTGCTTGCAGAGGAATCTGTCATGGGTAAAGCTCTTTTGATACCTTCAAGAGAAATGTTAGCAGCAGAAATAGATAATTTTTGTATTTCTGTGGCACATGGCTTTGAACAGTGAATGCTATCCTCTGCAATTTTCTACCTATTTAATTAGTGTAAAAACAAATAAATACTCTTCTTCTATGGTAATGAGAGCTATCTTATCTCTCATTCTGGTACACTGATAGCACCTGTTTTCTTTGTGCATTTTCAAGATCAGAGGCACTGTCCAGTAGGAAACTTGCAAGCCAAGGGTTCTGATCTAAGTTCTTGCACAAACACAATGATTATGTGCAGCAGAGGGTAGACTAAACACCCCTCAAAATGTTACTCAGAAAACAATGGGAATAAGAGACAGTTTGACATTCAGTTCAGTTGAAATTATTCCAGTAAAACTATAGAGCTATATGAATAATCTGCTTGAAATTACAGTATTACTGCAATGTAACATTAGGCACATAGAAAGGAGACTGTTCTTGTTGCATCCTTTTTCTATTGCTAATTCTTAATTGATGTTTTCCAATTGATGTTTTCCCATTAGAAAAACAGGATAGAGCAGCAGCAAAATAACCATTCAATTACTTTTAAACAGAAGACCACAAAACTGGTCTGCATTTCTATCTTGATGGATAAAAGGAATAAAATAAGAATACAAGTTAACTGTGCTACATCTATGGCAATTTCATATGTTTCATTGCTTATTTCATGACAATTGCTGTTAAGAAGAAGACATACAATCCAGAAACTCATGGCATATACACTGGCAGAAGCCATAAACCATAAGAATAACAAGACTCGAGGGGACAAGGCTGACAAAGACTACCCCAAGGGTGACTTTCTTTGATACCAGTAAGTAGATCCCTAAAGGCAAGGAACTAAAATACAGCAAACCCAGCAACCAAACAAGAACTCGAATTGAAGTCTGGAAGAGCAAAGATGTACAGTTCCACACTGTCCAGTTGTGAGGCACAGATGCAACAGAGTCAAAACTTGTGGGCCTATAGAATTCCACAACTGGGGTTGAGTTCAGGGTTGGGGGACTTTCCCTTTGCACTTCCATAATGGTTATAACTAGACAGTTGGAGGAAGTATGGGAAGGGCTAACAAGAGAGGCCAGTCTTTTGGGGGTCAGTAAGAGTTCTGTTGGATTGTCCGGTAGGCACTTCTTCACTTTTCCTCCATAAGCCAAATTTACAAGGATGTTGTTGTCATCAGGAAGACTACTCACCTCATCATCAGGCAGGCAAGTCTCGAACCGGCAAAATGGGCAAACAATGACTCCCTGAGGAGAGTCCCCAAAATCTATGATCTTGCAAAGGCATTTGGCACATACTCTGTGGCAACATCCCAGAACTTTAGGTTTTCTTTGCCTCAGGTTATAGCGGTTGTAACAGATCTTACATTCAAGCTCATCTGAGCCCTGGGACTCCACAGCATCCTCTGGCAATAGACTTGTCATTTCCTTTTAATGTGCTTTAGTCTTGTGGTGATGTCAGCCTTAGACAGTCTGTTTTTCTTTTTTTTACTAAGTTTCTAGAACGCTTTTTTATTATCCTGTCACTTTGGCCATTCAGTTGGAGAGAAAAGCAGCAAGTGTCTTCATTTCTCAGCCTCTTTCCATGACTATATGTTTTGTCCTTCAATATCTTTTATGTAAAATTATATCACGTAGTTTCTAGAGAGGGAAAAAGACACATGAGTTCATATCCAATCATTATGTACAACTTTGCTCAAAATCTTCTGAGTTAAGCCTACAGGAGATTCTCTCTATTTGGCTCACTGTAATTATGAGGAAGGTTAGGTTTAGCAGTGTTGATTGGTCCAAAACGGCCTGTTAGCTTTTCAGTACATTAGGTATTTTAAACAACTCTGAAACTCACTGTTTCATTCATCCATATCTATAAATAAGAAAAATGAAAAGAAAAGGAAAAATAAACAATGTTGCAATTAGTGCATGTTCCAGATATTTTTTTATTTCTAAATTCAGATGAGAAGGACCTGTTAACAGCTGGACTGGAGATTAATACAAAGTGAGAAGCCTTAAACTCACAGATCTGTGATCTGTAACCCTCCTATCTATTCTAATATTTTAACTCTGCTTTCCAACTGAAAATATTCAATGTGTGGCTGGCACAAAATAAAATAAAATTAAAGACATTTCACAATATTTAAAAAATGAAAACCAAAAAAAAAAAAAAAGAAAGAAAGAAAGAAAGAAAGAAAGAAAGAAAGAAAGAAAATTCAACCATAAAGTTGTGTAAGTTCTTATACTGATCAGCTGGAATGGAACCATTTCAGAAAAGGAGATGGCAAATGGTCAGTGCTGATGGTGTGTTCTTGCTGCCAACCTTTTCCTTTGCTTCAGTCAGATGGATTAACTCCTGCCATGTGTGTCATAATGCATTACAAAATTACTGCTTAATTTTTAAGCAGTATTCATGTTTATGATAATTATAGTTATTCTGAATTACAAACATCTCTACCACTACACTTTAGGGCCTCAGCTTCGCTGTGTAATGGCAACAAGCCTATTTGTTTTACTCTCAAAGTTGCAATAGGTTGGAAATTATTTGAAGGCACACAACTACAATGAACATCAGAAATGATGCAAGCCCACTATTTGTGTCAAATGTGATGGCACACTTGTACTTACAAAGTGATTGAACATCCATCTGTGAACAGGATGTCTGTGGTTTTCATTTCTTTCCTACAGAAGTCTGCTATATATAACTTGTAGATAGTATTAGAAATGAATAAAAAGTGTTATTTTATGGATGTTCGTTGTTACAAATTTTAAAAATGCTTCATCCATTCCAACACTACTGCTCCTGATAACTTTAACAAATTTCACCTGATTTGGACAGGTTCTATTTAGGGAAACAGAAATGGATAAGTAAGTGTTCATGAATTAGATATGGAAGTATGACTGCATAAACTATGCAGGCTGACAGTCATTTATTCATTTAGCTTAATAAGTTAGCTAATTATGTCAAAATGTTTGATTACAAATGTGCACATAAAGATTTAAATTTGAACTTTTCCCAGTTCAACTACAGTTGATGCACTGAAGCAATGGAACTTAGAAAAGTGTTTATTTTCCAAGTTCCTATTGATTTAATGAGCTTGTTTAGACTAACATTTGAATGTTGGCCATGCATAGGAATTGTGCAGTCCCCCAAATATTGTTGAACCAGGACAAAGCTGCTGGGAGTGGTAGGTCAAAAACATCTGGAAGGCCACACAATTCCCATCCTTGATTTGGGCCATTAAGACCATAATCTCAATAGGAAGAAACATGCATTTCCTAGAAATGTGCACAATAGTTAATAATACTGAGATTATGTGAAACAAACTAAACATAACTTTCCAAAACAGTAAGACCAAAGGTGCTCAACTGCCCTAAGTTCCCTTGGGGAGGGAGGGTGGGTTATAAAGTTTATTATTATTATTGTTATTGTTGTTATTATTATGAATCATGCACCCTGAATTTGACAATTCACAGGGGCATCTCCTATGTCCATGTTAAAGCCATTCTGGATTTTATGCCCGCCTTTGAAGGAGCTATCCAAAATGCTGAGCATATTTTGAGGGTAGGGCTTAGCACTTCATGAAGTTCCGTTATAGCTGAAACTAAAGTTTAGATTTACTATTCACTGATATGGAAGCCATTTATTGTGTGCCCTCAAGTTGTTTATGAGTTTTTTCTGGAGCTGAGAGTATGTGAATCACCTTGTTGATCAGAGTCATCAACCTACTTTTCACTGTTTTACTGATTTCATTGCTTCCAAGATGAGACCGATGCCTTTCAGCAGATGCTTCCCCACAAATTATATGTTGTCTTGTCTCTTAGCAACCAGAAAGAAATGAAGTACAATATTTACATGCTCCTACTGAAATTAGCTGCAAAACATCAATAGAGCCGAAATGTCAGATTAAATTGAATTTTCATTTTCCAAGTGATCTACATTATCTTATTAGCAAGTCTTGTACTTTCCACTAACCCTTAGAAATTCAGATGGCCATAGTTTATTTCTCCCTATTAGTTATAACAAGAGTTTCTTCAGAAAACAATAAAACTATGCTTTTAAAAATCTGCTTAATTCTGGTAAAACTGATGGGGAAAACCTTCCAGTGCCTTCTAGCAGAATGTTAACTTCCTTACTGAACCCTGCCACATGCACAATGGAGGACCTTCTTATAGCAACACCAGAGGCACTCCAAGTGGCCAGCTACTGGTCAAAGGACATTTAATATAATGCCAAATTTTAAAACTTTGTAATACATTACAACTGTATCCTTGGTTCGTTCCTGATATGATAAATAACTTCCTTACTGGCATGAAACAAGACATAACTCAGCATAAAAAAACCTAAGTGGGGAAGATGTATTTCATGTACAACATGGTACTTTGTTTGCTTTGTTTGTATTACTGCACCTAAAGTTCACAGTAATAGACAGTGATAATTGTAATAGTCGTAGCAATAACTATAACAATAATAATGACATTAATACTACGTCTACTAATAATAATAACCATGAGAGTGATGATAATAGTAGTATTAACAGTAATAGCAATAATAATAACAGTAACAACAACTTTTCTCTCAAATGCCCATTTTGGGGTATTCATTTTGCCACTCTGTTGTAGTTTAGGCATTAGCACCCTTTGCCATACAAAGTTAAAATTGCAAGTCCCATGATTCCATTGTATTAACCTAGGCAGTTAAAGTGGTGTCAATCTGCATTAATTTTATAGTGTAGATTTACCCATGGAGCCCCCAGTGGCACAGTGGATTAAACCCCTGTGCCGGCAGGACTGAAGACTGACAGGTTGCAGGTTTGAATCCGGGGAGAGGTGGATGAGCTCTCTCTATCAACTCCAGCTCATGCAGGGACACGAGAGAAGCGTCCCACAAGGATGATAAAAACATCAAATCACCTGGGCGTCCCCTGGGCAACGTCTTTGCAGACGGCCAATTCTCTCACACCAGAAGCGACTTGCAGTTTCTCAAGTCGCTCCTGACACGACAAAAAAGCAAACAAACAAACAAAAAACCCATGCAGTTGAATAATGGAGCCATGTTGTTACATCCCCTGCCTGCTTCCCATCTATGTATTGGTGAATGCTCTCAAAAAAGTATCTCCTTTATGTTCCATTATGTGGTCACCTGATTTGTTAAAGTGGTGTCACACAGTATTAATTCTACAGTAGATGCACCCTGAAATATCAGTGTTTTACAACTGAAGAAGTAAAATGATATTCATGAAAGTGCATGCTAAAATACAAATCAGATTTTTGCCTTCCTTCCTGTTTTCCCCCTTTTCTACTACAAAACATGGTGACATACATACTCCTTTGAATATGGTTTACTGTAAGTTACCCAGTGGCTTTCCAAAGCTTCCTTGGTTGCCAATAACATGAATCTAAGGGTGCATCAACACTGTAGAATTAGTGCAGTCCAACATCACTTTAACTGCTATGGGTCAATGTGACGAGTTCCTGGGATTTTTAGTTTGTGAGTCACCTGCATTCTTTGTCAGACGATGAAGAGCTTGTAAAACTATAACTCCCATGATCATAGCACTGACCTACGGGAATCCAAGTGGAGTTAAACTACATTAATTTTACAGTGTCGATTAGTGATTTCCAAATGCTAGTCTTCCAGCTGTTTTGGAGTTCAAATACTAGAAGCCTCTGCTGCCTTGGCCAATGATCAGGGATACTGGGAATCGAAACCCAAAATACTTAGAAGACTGTGTGTTTCTGTCTTCTAATTGCTCTGTTCTTCCTCCCCATCTGGATAGCTGATCGCTGAACAATCGATGGCAGGCAGCTTGCTTTGAGTGACCTCTAGCAATGCGCTCTGGGCTTGGTAGGCACCGTCTGTTGGCTGCCAAATAACTCTAAAATGGTGGCAGATTCAACTGCAAAAATTCATAACATTTCTTCAATACTTCATGGGTCCCCTGTGATCCCCAGGGCTGAGAACCATTGCCCTAAAGGCAGAAGAACCCCATCTGATCTTGGAAGCTAAATAGGGTCAGCCCTGGTTTAACATCATGTCAGTCTAATATTATTGGTTTTACTTTACTTTTAAACTCATCATTGCTGTTGTGTACATGTGTCTTATGGGCAAGTAAACTCCAGTGGAAGGGGAATTTATATTTTGAATAAAACTGGATTTTGTGATCGGTATGTTTCAAGAGACCCAAATGAACCACTTTGCTATTGATTAGGTCAGTGAAATTTCTGACATAGGTTAATAAATGGGTTGCCCATATTCAACACATAATAACATAGTTTGCACCATTTATTAATTGGATATAAATCTCCATGGTCCTAGGATATAAATTCAACAAGAATACATTCTCCTTTCTTTACCTTCTTATAAGAAGAGTGAAGAGGTACAGAACTAAACATCTGACCTGTGAAAATTGTCCCTATTTCCCTAATTTTTGATTTTTTAAAAAAATGTGTCATGTTTCCAATAGCACCAATTTATTCTTCAGAACAGTTTTCCAGATATTTAGGCCATATCTTATTTCAAGATTTCAATTCTTAATTTACTTTATTTAAACCATCTCCAAATCCATTTACTGCTTTTTCACAGATACACAAGTATATATATACAGGTAGGACATTTGTTTTAACAGTTACATATTGACAGAAAGACAATTCTGAATTCGTAATGCTAGGAAATCACAATCAATATCTGACTCACTAGATGCTCTTTTAGCGTCATGCACTAGATGACGGCAGAACTCTCATTAATTTAATTTTTGTGCTAATTCATACACAGAGTAGGATATATGTGACTACTGTTTACAGTCAGATTTAAATACCAAATCTCAAGAAAGCTGTTTGTAGTAAACAAACTGTGGACAAAAAGTGTGTGGAAATAAGAAAAAGCAATAATAAGAAAAACACGCACATGGATATGAATTAGAAATTATTAAATGTTGTTGCAATTACCATTTATATTTTTATCAGAGTATAATAAATGAACAATTTCCTAAAAGTAGGAATGGATGAGAGTGCCTTTCCACTTTTTTTTTTTTTACTTTCTAGACACTCTTCAGAATCATTGCAAAAGCTGATAAAGATAAGATGGTAAAATAAAATGCTACATCACTAGTTGTAAGATGGCTGCAATGTTGCTTTGATCAAATTAATGCAGGGCTAGGCTATTTTAGATTTCAAGAGCAAAGAAAACTTTTGGCCTTATATATTAGGAAAAACCCCAATAGCAGAAATTATATATTTAGGCTGTCCTTTTGACTGAAGACAAAAAGTTTTGGTACTGGAAATAATATGTTCCTCTCATAGAATCATACAGTTGGAGGAGACGACAAGGGCCTTCTAGTCTATGATGGTCCAATCCCCTTCTGCCATGCAGGAATACAAAATTAAAGCACCCCCGATGAATGGCCCCCCAGCCTCTGTTTAAAAATATGCATAGGCAGTTCTACATAAGATTAAAATGCAAAAATAGCATCAGATTAAATTCAGGAATTGAGCCAGCTGAACCAAAAAGCAGTGTCAATTAGACACTGAGTGGGGTCACTTCTTAACACTCCAAAACACTAGTGGGTCAAGCAGCATGCAGACCAGACATCACTTAGAAATCCATTGAAGAAATAGTACATTGGGGGGGGGGGTAACCAGAATCATTTTGATGTAGGAAGAATACTTCTATGAGGAAAGCATCTAGATGGGGCACAAAAAGGGGAAGAGGAATATGATGATGGTTTTCAAAATTATACATGGTTCAAGATACTGCACTGGGCTGGTACTGCAAGAATTAACCAGACATACTCCCTGTGTGCATGTGCCTTCAAATTGCCTTCCAACTTAGGGTGATTCCATGAATTTCATAGGGCTTTCTTTGGCAAGTAATACTTAAGAGAGTTACACCCTCCCACTACTGATGTAGGCTTCTACACTGCAATATAACATCCAGATTATCTGCTTTGAACTGAATTATATGGCAGTGTAGACTCATATAATCCAGTTCAAAGAATATGTGGATTATCTGCTTTGATATATGGCAGTGTAGAAGGGGCCTTGGACACACTACATCTGGTTGTTAGGAGGGGAAACCCAGGTGAAGGGGAAACACTTGCTAATGAACAGAAATGCTATTTTCTACAGTCCAATATCATCTATATTCTTTTGTAATCATACTGTATTATGTCCCAAGAAGCAATGTTCCAATCTACAAATTTTCTGTGTGTAACCCACAGTAGTTTGTGGAGTCTAAAAGGATGGATTTTGAACTATGACTCTGGATTTGAACTTGTCTCTTTTAAATTGTCTTTTTAACTTATGATGATGTTTTAATTAATGTTTAACTGTGTTTTTATTATTATTGCTGGCATCTAATGGTTGCTGGTTATAAGCTGTTCTGAGTCCCCCTCTGGGGGTGACAAGGACAGGATATAAATATCTGAAGTAAATAAATAACTAAATAAAGGTTAATTCAATGGTTTTATATAAGGTTTAAAGAAGGTGAATACAACAAATTAGTACAATAATTGTAGTACAGCAAGTGACTGAAACAATAAACTACCAGAACTTAAAGAAAAACCTGACTGCTGTTTCTGTCATTATAGGTCATATATTCAACCACCCCATTTAAAGCAGGAGTTATTATTATTATTATTATTATTATTATTATTATTATTATTATTTACTTCATTTCTACCCTGCCTTTATCGACCCAAGAGGGGACTCTAGGCGGCTTACAAATTTGGCAAAAATTCAATGCCGCACAGGTATACAATAAAACACATCGCATACAAACAAAAACCATCTAAACATGTAAACAATTAAAACTCATAACAATCTATCAAGCAGATTAAAAACCACATATAAAATGCCAAGTCATGATCTCATGTCCAGTTAACAGTTTACTTCTGCAAAACACAGTTCTAGTTAAAAGGAAATACAGTTCTTGTAATTGTTAAAGAGATTCACACACCTCTTGTGACAGTCATATCTTCCTAAAGTATGTGCCTTAGGAGAATATAAATAAAAATGACAAACAACTTCATAGCAAGCTGTTATCAAGCTAATGCCATTAGGGAAACTAATCTCACTTTTAGAGTCTTGTGGTGCAGAGTACATTGCCCATCAAAAATAACACGCAAACCTCAATTACCCACGCTAGAAAACATGAGCATCTTTTTTTCTTCAAGCAATCACCTCTAAGGAGGTGTTCCAGCAATGGGAGCTATATATCATTGCCTTGAGCAATCTTGTGACTCTTGGTTTGACAAGAACTTTTGTCGTTTGGCAACTGTATAACATAATGCCCCAGCTGGTAGCAGGAGCATTTGGTACCTGGGGAAAATCATTTATAATATTATTACAACTATTTCTCTTAGTGCCATAGAAACCAAAAAGAGAAAATGGTTAATCCATCTCTAAAGGGAAATACATATTTAAAGTACAAATAATAAGAAAAATTGGGCTAGAGTTTAGATTTGTCCAAACAAAAAAAGGATTTTAGAAAGAAAGAAGTTATTGAAAATATGGCCCACATTGCAGGGAAATGTAACAGTTTTGTATTTTTAAGGGCTACATGAGTACCAAAGAAAGAAAGAAAGAAAGAAAGGGAAAAGAAAAATGACACATTTAAAGACATTTTAAAACTGATTTGGGCATTTTTCACATTGACCACTATTTATGAAGCCATTATAGATTTTTCATTCCCTGCTCTAATTGTGAGGGATTCTATAAGCATGACGCCCTGAGTTCACATTCATCCTGAAAGAAGAGTGCGACTCTTTGATGGTTTTTGCAAGGATTCTTTTGTTCTTTTGAATGTCCCATGGTCAGCCTCTAACTCATTTCATAATTCTGCTTGAAAAGGAAATGGAAGTGAACTGTATTTAAAAGATCACCGGCTTATAATAACATGGAGTAATGCTTTAAAGAATAACAAATTCATTATGCCATATGTGGACTCCAGCCCGTTTTATATGTATTTTCTCTTAAGTTGTATTTTTATTTAATCTGTTGGTGCGTATAAACTATTAAAGAAACATTTTTGAGGTGGAAAGGTGACTTAACGTGGAACTTTTTGCAGGTTTTTAATACAACTGATGAGTAAAATCAAGATAGAAACAAGTAAGGGAGAGAAAAATTGAAACACACCTACCCCTGCAATCAGGATGATGAGAGGCTTGTAACAGCATTATTGAACAGTCTCCCTGTTGCAGGTAGCTACTATAGGGAGGATGTGTATTTTCTACCGACCCTGTGAATCTGACCATAAATATATAAATAAACATTTCATGTCTGCCACAATGTGTGAAATTACATGCCAGCCTTGAAAAAATATTGGCCCACACAAGTGAGAGACATGACATATACTAGCAGATATGCAGACAAATTTAAGTTTCCAAGTGAATCAGGTAAAAACTGATTTGTATCTGAAACTGTCCCATAAATATTTACTTTGTGCCTCCTAACATGCAGTATTCTTCTCTGAAATGATCCCTACCACCCAATTCTTCATTCCCTAATGTATGTGGAAGTCAATATGGATTTGTATGTGGAATTTCACATTAAGACTTATAACACACAATTTCTATTATTTCTGTTTAAAATGTCCAAAATGGATAATTGATAAAATGAAGAAAAAAACCCTAAAAATCCTTCTTGCAATCTGTTTTTGATAGTCTTTTAACAATAAGACAGCAGTGACTCACAACCATCCACACGCAATTGCTTCTTTCAATGCATGACTATGCCCCCAAACAAGTCTAAATTTAGATCAAAAAATGGATGAATGCCTAATTTTAGTCTACACATGATATGTGTATATATATAAACAGCATGGTATCAAAAGAAGTAATGCAATTAATCTTCTTTCGACGTAATACATATTTAAATATTTATAGTCCATAAAAAATCAATCCTTAGGATATTTTTACAATTTTTTCTTTTTCTGGCAGGGCTTCTGTGCCTTCAATGGAGTGTAACAAACTACTACAGCTTTTATAGCATATAAATGGAATAATAAAGCAAGGTTCACAAAATAAATGCCAGCTTGCCACTCAAGTATTGAATGTACAAAAGTACAATATAATGGCAAACCTACCTCTATTCAAAGACAGGACCATCGACACAGCATTTTCTCATGGAATAGCAGATCAACCTATGTGACCAAAAGATAATATAATGCACCAAGCAGGCAGCAGGTGCACGATAAGTGGTGACTACAAAGTAATACCATGGAAACATGACTACCCACATGTCAGGGGAAAGAAGAGGTTTATGACAGCAGTACCGAAAAATTTTGCTCTCTTTTCACAATTGTTAGCAAAATTGAATTTTACTCAAATTAAACATAATGCACTGCTAGAACTTCAATAAGTTCTGACTGCTTTGAAATATTGGGTCATGTAGATAATTGGATATGTTTGAAATTCTGCAGCAATCTTAATCACAGCATCAGTTGTACACTGAAGTGGACAAAAGACTTTGAGAATCAAAAATGGGCAACGAACTACTGGTTATTTACGATGTGCTTACAATAATTTACTGACAGGGATGGAGACACGCTTGTTGGATTTTCTCCATTATGTAACACAATAACACAGGTGAGCTTGGATACTCTGTACTTTAACCTGCATGAGGCGGGTGCCTTTTGCTGTGCCACCTCATGCAACAAAACTTTTTGGACTGACACACCGCAAATGTAGCAAAACAAATTTATTTACAAGACTAGAGCTCTCAAGACAAAGTACAGTTATATAGCATTGCTTTGCATAGCACTCATAGATGTATCTTTTTGCCGTTGTTACCCAAAATTCCACACTGTCCACAAGGACAAGTCATACGATGACTTATTCCCTTCTGAAGCGCTGTCACAGAGCTGTAACAAGAAGCTTTCTATCCTAGAGGTTTACTCCCTCATTCTCACAAGATTCAGTTTGTCCCTTTCATCACTGTACATTCAGCAAAACCTCTGGGAGGAGACTGTAAAGTGACTTCAGATGAACAGTGTAAATCTCCCAGTAGTTTAGTTGCTGGTAGTTTATTTCTTCCACTCCTACATTGAGATGTGAGCTCTCAAAACACACAAGAAATGTTTACAGTCTCACATCCAATGCTCTATAACATTCCTGCCAAATTTCAGAGACAATTATGAACTTTTCTTTTTCAGGAAAAAAATGTCCAAGAAACACTGACAGAAATTGAAGAATTCACTAAGACTAGAGGCCTTTCTCAAAGGGTTAGGCTTACTGCCTTAAAACACAAACTACACTGACAAAGTAGGATACAAATATTTTTGGTATTTTTATGTTCATTCTGGTTTTACATTTTTGTTGGTGTTTCACCCAAATTTTTCTTTTGAAACTCAATTCTTTTATTCTTTGTGAAAAGATGTGCAGCTGCAAACATTATGTGGAATGAGGTACACACTTGTCCCATATTGTTGTAACATTATACCTTTTGAGGCTTTCCAGATTATTTTTAAGCTTCCAATTGTTCAATCACCTATGTTTCTTATTGTTAAAAAGGTTAACGGTGAGATGTTATATTTGGAATGAAAGACTTATTAGAGCCTTTATTCCACTCATGACAGAAGTCCCCATCTTAGGATGGTGAATTTGAAAACAAAACAAAACAATTTGTAGGCAGAGAAATAAGTTTAGAATTCTCAGCTGCAGAAACATGCATTAAGGAATATATTCTTGGATAGAAGTAACCTAGTCCTTTCCAAAGTAATCTACAACAGAAAAAAGTGCTCATCATAAAGCAGAGGTGTTTAGCCTGCGCTGGTTCTTTTTCTTTTATAATTAATCAGGCAGGTAATTAATGACCTGGTCAATAAATGACCAGACAATGTAATCTACCCATAACACTTTTGCGATAGGTGGCTGACAGAGGAGGCAAAAAAAGCGGGAAAGGAAGACAAAATATCATCATTCTGTCCAAAGCATCCCATCCCATCCCTAGTAGACAAAAGAGCAGCAAGAACAAGTGCTGTTTCTTCCAATGTTCATTTCATTAGACTACCCATGCCAGCACAATCTATGAACACCACATCATTGTGTATATCCTGCACTAGAAAAAAAAGTTATATTTTAAATATTTCTGTCCCACTTATATGAGGTTCAGAGGTAGTTTACATCACTGAGTAGTCTTCAGTCTTTTCAGACATGGGATCCACTGAAAGGGACCTTTTTAGCTTAGTGGATCGACATATAAGCCCCATATACGCTGACCACTTAGTGGGTTGCAATGGGCAGATTAGGCTCTGTCTTGTGATAGCCAAAAACCACATGGGACTGATATGCAGTAATATAGAGAAAGGCTACCTTAACACAGTTTATGTCAATTTAACAACCTTCTAGTTGGATTTTTGACCCATCAGTTATATACACCCAAACATCTGTAAATTATATTCCTCCCTTTGAAAATTGTGTAGAGGGTATGGTATATCCTACAAAACAATTTTTATATATTATAATCTCCTAGATAAAGATGTAAAGTGTTCTTGTGACTATGCAGTAGCTGCTTATTTGTTAAAAATATTTTGCCTTAATATGTATTTAATGTGTTGCCTAATGGTCTGTTAACTGCAATAAAGATTTTACTGCTGCTGCTGCTGAGTGGGTTCCAATGGGCAATAACTCCAAAGAAAAACAAGATATCCTGTACTCTTTTTAAAGAAGTTCTCAGCTGCAGAAACATGCATTGGCAAACACACCAGACACCATACAGATTTGATGTATCGCAGAAATGTAATTTTGCAAAATGTGGGAACAGATAAGCATCATGGAAATGTGTTGTGTGTGTGTGTGTGTCTTCAAGTCCTGTGGAATATTCAGAGGTGGTTCCAATTCCTTCCTTAGAAATATAGCTCACAGACCTGGCAGTCTCCCATCTAAGTACTAACCAGGATTAAGTTAGCTTAGCTTTCAAATTCAGTTGGAATCTGGTGCCTTTAGCATATTTAGGCTCAATTGCATTGGATTTAAGGGATATTGATGTTCAGCAAGGAACAAATATTTTTTGATCTGAAAGCAGAAGAAAGAGGGGTTTTAAGACTGATTATTCTTTGTGCTATTTAAGAAGTACATTATGGTTCAGATATATATTATCATGATCTTGTTACAGCTACATCATTAACTTAATAAACAGAGAGAAGTAGGTAACCTTTAGAATGTCTTTATTGGCCACGTGAGGTTTTCCTGAGACAGGTATACTGATTGCCAGGTTCCATCAGTGTATCATAGCAACATGTATTCACAATCTCTAGGTGACCATTGAAAAACGTGTATGTTTTTGAAGCCACTGCTAGCAGAGACCCAAATCTTTAGAAGTATGATTATAATCGTATTTCAACCAACTGTCTTACATGTTCCTTCCTAAATTTTGAAAGCCATGCTGCCTTCCTTTACCCCAGTCACCCACCAAACTGATGTAATCAGGAAGGTTTAGGATTATCTTTTCAAAGAGATTGATTAAATCCAAATATATTACACCAACGGTTTATATAGTGTACATCACAATGCATAGTACAGAAATCATGTGCATTTTGAACACAATATGATTGCTTGAGCTTAAAAAACACAGTACAATTCTAAATGCAGAATATGCTTCTTGATATTGTTGGTCCTTCATATCCATGGATTCTGCATCCACAGATTCAATCATCCATAGTTTTTTTAAAAATCCCCCAAAATATTTTAATATAAGGGACACTGTTTACTATGCTATTGCATATAATGGGACTTGAGACTCTGTGGATTCTGGCATCTATTTGCCGCAGGGGGGGGGGGGATCCTGGAATCAAACATCAGCAGATACTAAGGGCTCACTGTATTAGTTAGCAATTATGTACATTGCCATATCTGTACATATTTTAGTACATATAAAGTTACATGTAATTTTTCTGTACTTTGCATGTTTCAACATTTGCCTAGGTAGAAATATAGGTGAGCAATCACACAAAAGAACATGATGTTAGGTGTTGACTTTTGCTTCTTTCTCTATTTTATCACATTTGCTCTAGCTTTACTTTTGAGATTGAAAGAGCTTTCATGTGTATTACCCTACAAAATTGTTTCACTACACTGGCCTGCATTCTTTTGCACACTCACTTGATTTCAGTGGGCTATGTGTAAGTATATAATGTGCTAGAAAAAAAAAGAGAGCTATCCTTTGTGTCTTTAAGGATAAATCCTGTGTTTTAAAGCTGAAGTTTTACAAGTGTCACATATTTTTCTCATTTGCTTCATGCTTTATGTGTTTTGGGAAAAAACGTACATTGAACTTTTCACTGCCAGATGTATACGTTTTAGTTTTAGAAAAAGGTCTAGCAGCATCATGACCTTTTGTGCTAAGCAACTAACACAGTTGACTGTTGCAATGAATTTCAATAGGTGTCAGGAGTGTTCCATAAAAACAGAGGATTATTAGACTTCATGTATGGCATAGCAAAAAACCAATCCTGCCAAGAATGTTTTATTTTCATACATCTCAGTATTTCAGCTTTCATTTCATATAAATTTAAGGAAGGGCATTAACGATTGTTGAGTAGGATGTACTCATGTTTCAGCTCTAATAATGATTAATTCAAAAGGATTCTCAGGCTGCCACCTCATATACACTTACTTTAGATTGAAGTATCACAGAAACAAGAGACTACAGTGCATGCTATACATAAGTGATGAAAAGTGTGCAGTCCTGTAGGTGTTGTTGAACTGTTATCACCTATCCTTAGACAGGGTGAGCTATGATGGGAGTTGCTGTTCAACACTACAGGGCTATAAAATTCCTGCCCCTACTATATAGATTTACTCATCCATTATAGTCAGCTCTTCCTATCCATGGATTCAGCATCCACAGATTCAGCCATCCATGGCTTGACAATATTCAACAACAAAAAGGAATCCCAGAAAGAAAACTTTGATTTTGCTATTTTATATAAGGCACACCATTTTACTGCACTGTGGTATATAATGGGACTTAAACATTTCCAGAGATTGATATCCACGGGATGGAATGGGAGTCCTGGAAGCAAACTCAGCAGAGACCAAGGGTACACTGTACAATGGGCTTACTTCTGAGTAGACTATTTATTTTATGGCTACTAATTGTAAGAATGTACTGAATTGTCAATTTTTCAGGAAGAAGGTGAGATCTTACCAGCTATATAGGTGCTTCCGGTTGTGCAATGAGTTAAACCCTTGTGCCAGCAGGACTGATGACTGACAGGTAGGAGGTTCAAATCCGGGGAGAGTGCAGATGAGCTCCCTCTGTCAGCTCCAGCTCCCCATGTAGGGACATGTGAGAAGCCTCCCACAAGGATGGTAAAACATCAAACATAAGGGCGTCCCCTGGGCAACATCATTGCATACGGCCAATTCTCTCACACCAGAAGCGACTTGCAGTTTCTCAAGTTGTTCCTGACAAAAAACAAACAAAAAAGCCCAGCTATATGTCAAAACAAACTCAAAAGCTGAAATGTTTTTGAATCACAGGCTTTCCATGTTACAAAATTTTAATTCATGGAATTGTGTCCCAGTGCTGCTAAAGATGAAGAAATTCTTCCTGAAATAAAGTTGCCAATATGTATGCTTAAAGTATTAATTATGTTATTTTACTGACTTTTGTTATTTGTTGTCCTCTTCTCTCTTCTCTCATATCTATTATGTATACTAGTGACAACTTTCAACAACATTTTTGCAAAATGTTATTCTGGTCCAATAAAATCTTTCCTTTCCCCTAAATCAGAGGTTTTCAACTGTTTCAGGCATAGAGAGTCCCTTTCGAAGCATAAGTTTATTGTGGAGTCCCAATAAATTTCATATAATGTGTGTGTGTGTGTGTGTATTGTGTTTTAAAAATTTGACAGACGGGCGAGGCCACATGAAGATGGATGGAGAGTGCTTACATGAACTAACTGAAAAAAATTAAACAAATTCCTATGCACACTGCACATAGCTCGTTTGTAGTGCAAAGAAAAAAAGGAAAGACAGAATGAACAATGCAATATTTAAAATGAAGAACAATTTTAACCAACATAAACTTAACAGTATTTCAATGGAAGACCCCAGGGGCCATCCAGTCCAACTCCTTTCTGCCATGTAGTCAATCAAATCACCCCAACAAATGGCCACCCAGCCTTTGTAATAATAATAATAATAAGAAGAAGAAGAAGAAGAAGAATAGCAGAAGCCCCAGAGGCCATCAAGTTCAACTCCCTTCTGCCATGCAGGAAAAGAAAATCAAAGCACACCCTGAGTGGTGGGAGAGAAATAAGGTTTTGGAAGCAAGGAAGTAGAGGAGGAACTGATCTGGGCAGTGAGGAAGGTGAGGGGAAAAGGCTTTTGGGGGCAAGGGGGATGGGGGAGGAAAGGAGAAAAAGCTTGGAGTGGGAGGAGGACGACGAAAGTGCAAAGCCCCTCAGTATGCTTTGTGGAGCACCAAGGGCTCCATGGAGGACACTTTGAGAACTGCTGTCCTAAATCATACAGTTGTGAAATATCTCATAAACGAGAAACCAAGATGCTTAGAATCTCTCCCAGTGAAGTACTGAATGTTTCAATTCCAGTTGGGTTTCAGTACTCTGGGGGTTTTAAAGGAGTAAACATTAGCAATATGGGATGTCAAAGTTAAGTTAACTCTCAGATGAAATTTTAGTTGAATATTTGCTTAACTTCTTAAAGTTTGATTTATTATTACCTTCATGTTGATTCAATCATAGTTTGTACTACCAGTTTTTCCAAACCTTATTTTTGTCATTTCAATTTTTCATCAGCAAAGTTCTTTCTAGTATGTCATAAATTAACAAATGTCTAAGATGCATTCATGCCTTTTAAAATAAGTTAATTAAAAGACAAGTCACACTTTCTCAGGCCCCTTCTACACTGTCATATAAAATCAAGATTATCCTTTTTGAACTGGATTATATGGCAGTGTAGATACATATAATCCAGTTCAAAGCAGATAATGTGTGTGACTTGCTTTGAACTGGATTATATGCGAGTACCGATTCATATAACCCAATTCAAAGCAGATAATGTGGATTATCTGCTGTGATAATCTGGATTATATGGCAATGGAGAAGAGGCCTCTGTCTCTCTCTGCTTCTAAACTGCCATATAAAATTCAGACTATCTTCTTTGAACTGGATTATATGGCAGTGTAGATTTATATAATCCAGTCCCCTTCTACATTGCCATATAACATCCAGATTATCTGCTTTGAACTAGATTATAAGGCAGTGTAGACTCATATAATCCAGTTCAAAACAGATAAAGTGGACTATCTGTTTTGATTATCTGGATTATATAGCAGTGTAGAAAAGACCTCAGAGGAAGGTGAAGAAAAAACCCCTTGGAACAAATCATTCTAAGGAAACACCGTGCTAGGTTGCCTTAGGGTTGCAACAAGTCAGAAACAACTTGAAGGCACACAACAAACAAAACTATTTTTTTTCAAACAAAAATTCTACATTAATTTAAGAATACATTTAATTCCAAACACTATTCAGGCCAATTTCAGCCTTTTGAAAGGCATCTTTTTTTTGTTTTTGACTATAAAATGCCTTTGGAACCACAATATATTTTACAGAAAGTCTCAAACCAAACCAAATGCAGAAGGAAGTTTTGGGATCAAATGGACATTAGTGGCATATACTTTAAAACTCAAACGAATATAATTTCCCCATTCAAACTAGAAACTAGTAAAATAATTTTCCCCCAATTTGAGATCTCCCCCCATAAGTATCAGCTCTCAGTAAGTGTAGCATTACAGTCACTGCCAGGACAGTAAAATGACCTGTTAGCCCTTTGGAAGAAAGTTATCCTCATCAAACAACAGTACAGTGCAGAATACAGATGACAAGATGATTCATTTCCGTACTTCTGAGAGGCAAGGTCATTAAAAGACACAGATTCCACACTCCCATCCTTCCAATCCATTATTTTCAACAAACCCAGAAAAAACTGTCAGATGGAAGCTTGGATCTAATCTTGGTGGCAAGTAGAGCAGACTAACAGAAATCAATAAAACAATACAAATCTTAACAAACGTTCCACACTGTATTTTTCAGTTGCTCTGTTCAAAGCAACTTCATGTTATCAATACATTTGAGAAACGTAGATTTAGGGCACTGGCTCCAACCTTCATACATTGAATTGGAGCTTTGACATTGAACTTCACGAAAAATGAACTCCTCCCTCCCTACTTGATGCACCTAACTATAAACTTCAGTTCCATCTCAAGCCTTCCAGAAACCAGTGTTCCCCACATCAATATTGAAGTACAGGCAATCCTGGAATTACAAACATCTGATTTACAAATGACTCATAATTAAGAACAAGAGTGAGACAACAGGAAGTGAGAGAAATCTACCCTCGGAAGGGAAGTTTCCTTCTGAAAGAATTATCATTTGGGAAAAGGGGGTCTCTAATGAAGCTTTATCACAAATCCTTGTCTCCACAACAAGCCAATTTTTTCAAAATCCAATTATTATCACAGGGACGGAATACGAGGTGGAAACTTCTGAACAGAAGCACAGACACCAAAATGATTGGGGGACCAAAAATGTTATAGATTTAGGAATATTTCCATATACATTATAACGAGTTATTTTGGAGACATGACCCACGTCTAAATGTGAAATTTATTTATGTTTCATATAGACTTTATGCACAGAGCCTGAAGGCAGTCCCCAAGTTATGAACAAGCAAGGTTCTATAGGTTTGTTTTTAAGTTGAATTTGTTTGTAAGTCAAAACAGGTACTTTTGAAAGTGTACTGTAACTCCAAATATAGATTCGCACACAGGGCCCACTGGTGGTGCAGTGGGCTAAACCACTGAGCTGCTGAACTTGCTGACCAGAAGGTCGGCAGTTCAAATCCGGGGAGCGGGGTGAGCTCCTGTTTCTGCCAACCTTGCAATTTGAAAACATGAAAATGTGAGTAGATCAATAGGTACGGCTCTATTGGAAAGGTAATGGCACTCCATGCAGTCATCTTTTCGGCTTATTTATTTGTCGTGTCAGGGCAACCAGTCAATTATATTACATTTCTAACAGAACAAAGCAAACAAACAGACAAAATACAAAATTTGTGAGTTTGGTAGTTGATTAAATGTCCTTTTCGGCTTAGAAATAGAGATGAGCACCCCTCCCCCCCAAGTCAGACACAATTAGACCTAATGACAGGGAAAACCTTTACCTTACATACATAATACATACTTTGGATAACATAGGGGTTAACATCCCTGTGGTGTTTGTTTTGCTGTCTGTTCAGAAGATCTCACTTAACTTTCTGACCCTGTGATAATTGGATTGAAAAAAATGGCTTGGTGGAAACCAGGATGGGTGAGAAAGCTTCAGTGGAGACACCTTTTCCCCATGATAATAACTCTTCCAGGAGTGTATTTCCCTTCCTAGGGGTAGATTTCTCACACGTCCTGTTGTCTCGCCCCAATTCTTAGCAATGAGTCATTCATAAGTCGGATATTTGTAACTCGGGGGCTGCCTGTGTATCCACAATATATTAAAAAATAATTTTGTGATTGGATCAAAGTTTGCAGCAATTGAACCTCATCAGAAATCAAAGGTGTCACTATCTCAGCAGATGATTTTTTAGTGTTTCGGATTTTTTTTCATGTAAGGAACGACCTGAGAAATTGCAAGTCATTTCTGGTGTGAGAGAATTGGCCGCCTGCAAGGACGTTGCCCAGGGCATGTCCGGACGTTTTACCATCCTGTGGGAGGCTTCACACAAGAAGGCATTTCGGATTTTGGGATAAGAGATACTCAACCTGTGCTGCTTCTTAATCCTCCCTATGAAACCCACTGGGTGTCCTGGGGTGAGTCACACTCTCTCGGCCTCAGAAGATTTAAAAGACTTGAAAACATACAACAACAAGAGCAACAACCACAACAACTCATTTAACTTCCCATACCACTTCCCATCTCATCCTCCTACCCTCAACTTTTGACCCCTTGTTATAGGGGAAAGAGAGCCAGCTAGGAGGGCAAGGCAGACAGAGTTATGAGGGAAAGAGAGACAGTTGAGAGAGAAAAAGAGCCAGTTAGGAGAGAATGGGAGACTGTTCTGGAGGAAAGAGAGACAGTTATGAGGGAAAGAGATACTTAGGAGGGAATGGGAGACACTTATAGGGAAAAAGAGCCAGTTATGAGGGAAAGGCAGTTGAGAGGGGGGAAAGCCAGTTATGAGGGAAAGAGAGACAGTTCTGGAGGAAAGAGTTATGAYGGAAAGGGAGGCAGTTGAGAGAGAAAAAGAGCCAGTTATGAGGGAAAGGCAGGCAGTTGAGAGGGGGAAAGAACCAGTCATGAGGGAAAGAGAGACAGTTCTGGAAGAAAGAGGTATGAGGGAAAGGGAGGCAGTTGAGAGGGAAAAAGAGCTAGTTATGAGGGAAAGAGAGGCAGTTGAGAGTGGGAGAGAGCCAGTTATGAGGGAAAGGGAGGCAGTTGAGAGCGAAATAGAGCCAGTTATGAGGGAAAGGAAGGCAGTTGAGGGGGGAGGAGCCAGTTATGAGGGAAAGAGAGACAGTTCTGGAGGAAAGAGTTATGAGGGAAAGGGAGGCAGTTGGGAGGGGAAAAGAGCCAGTCATGAGGGAAAGAGAGACAGTTCTGGAAGAAAGAGTTATGAGGGAAAGGGAGGCAGTTGAGAGAGAAAAAGAGCCAGTTATGAGGGAAAGGCAGGCAGTTGAGAGGGGGAAAGAGCCAGTCATGAGGGAAAGAGAGACAGTTCTGGAGYAAAGAGTTATGAGGGAAAGGGAGGCAGTTGGGAGGGGGAAAGAGCCAGTTGGGAGGGAAAGGGAGGCAGTTGAGAGGGGAACAGAGCCAATTAGGTGTGAAAAAACACTTATGAAGGGAAGAAGAGACAGTTGTGAGGGAAAGAGACAGTTAGTAGGAAAGAGACGACAGTTATGAGGGAAAGAGAGCCAGTTGTGAGGGAAAGGCAGACTTTAGCAGGTGGTTCTGGTCCAAAGCACCTCCTGAGGCTGCTCTCGCGAGGCGATCCTGCTGCAGTCATAAAAGGGCAGCCCGGCCCGTGCCCCTTGCGCTCGCCTGCGGGATGGAGGGCGCGAGGCCAGGGGAGGCGGCGAAGGGCGCGCGTACCTTGCGTGGGCGCCGCCGCGGGGGGGCTTCCTGCCTGCCTTCCCAGTCCCTTCCTTCCTTCGTCCTCTCTGCCGGTCTCTCCGTCCCGTTCCTCCGCCAAGCAAGCCTGCGCTTTGTTTGGCGTGTGGCGCGCGCCCAGGGGCTGCGGGGCTTTGTGGCTGGCGCGCGGGAGGAGCGCCGTCGCCATGGAAACGGGCGGCGGCAGCGGAGGCCTCTGTCGCCTCTTCCACCAGCCAGAAGGGAGCTGTGGTTGAGGAGGGGCCTCGGCATCCATTGAGGGACTGCCCTCCCCCTCAGGCGTTGAAGGAGGATGGCGAGCCCCCCCCAGCCATAGGCCCAATTCATAGTACACAGCCGTGGCCTTCCTCTCGAGGCTGAGAGAGTGTGACTCGCCCTTAATCTCCGATCGGGGATTTGAACCCAGGCCTTCAGAGCTTTAGGCCCAACACTCAAACTACTACTACTACTACTACTACTACACTATTCGCCCTTATACTGCCATAAAACATATTTATTTATGCTGCCATATAAAATCCAGATTATCTGCTTTGAACTGGATTAGGTAAAGGTAAAGGTTTTCCCCTGACATTAAGTCCAGTCATGTCCGACTCTGGGTGTTAGTGCTCATCTCCATTTCCAAGCCGAAGAGCTGGCATTGTCCGTAGACATCGCCAAGGTCATGTGGCCAGCATGAATGCATGAGCACCATTATCTTCCCTTATTGAACTCACATTTGCATGTTTTCGAACTGCTAGGTTGTTAGAAGCTGGGGTTGACAGCGGAAGCTCACTCATTTGAACCTGCGACCTTTCGGTCAACAAGCTCAGCAACTCAGCGGTTTAATCCACTGCGCCACCGGGGGCTCCTTGAACTGGATTATCTGGTAGTATAGACATATATAATCCAGTTCAAAGTAGATAATATGAATTGTCTTCTTTGATAATCTGGATTATGTGGTAGTGTAAAAAGGGCCTTAGGTTGGATCTCCACTGCCATATAATTGCATTTCTGAATACAAATTATCTTCTTTGAACTGGATTATATGAGTCTAAAGGTAAAGGTTTCCCCTGACGTTAAACCTAGTCGTGTCCAGCTCTGGGGGATGGTGCTCATCTCCATTTCTAAATCGAAGAACTGGCGTTGTCCGTAGTCGCCTCCAAGCTCATGTGGCCAGTATGACTGCATGGAGCTCCATTACCTTCCCCAGAAGAGGTGCCTATTGATCTAGTCACATTCATGTTTTCGAATTGCTAGTTTGGCAGAAGAAGAATCCATTTTGTACTGATGTAGAATGGGGGAGAGGAGAATCCTTTACAAAATCCCCATCCCATGGCAGGGAAGACTGGAAGATTGTGCAAAATGAAGAAATTCCCATTTTCCTGATCTGGAAATCTGAAATGTGCCAAAATCCAATTTTTTCTACATATGGATTGAGATAGTAACACATTTCTTTTCAGATGGTTTACTGTACACCAGTTTGGTCTCATGCATAAAATTATTATAAAATATTATGGATAAGGAGAGCTAGAATGGTCTAGTGATTTGAGTGTTGGACTATGAATCTGGAGACCGGGGTTGGAATCCTGGCTTGGCCTTGAAAATCCACTACATGACCTCGAGCCAATCACACACACTCAGTCCCAGAAAACCCCATGAAAGGTTTGTTTTAGGATCACTGTAAGTTGGAAAGGACTTGAGGACGCAAAGCAACCACATGGTTGATATATATGTATATATGTATATGTGTATATATATATATATATATATATGTTGTTCATTCGTTCAGTCGTCTCAGACTCTTCGTGACCTCATGGACCAGCCCACGCCAGAGCTCCCTGTCGGCCGTCACCACCCCCAGCTCCTTCAAGGTCAGTCCAGTCGCTTCAAGGATGCCATCCATCCATCTTGCCCTTGGTCGGCCCCTCTTCCTTTTGCCTTCCACTTTCCCCAGCATAATTGTCTTCTCTAGGCTTTGCTGTCTCCTCATGATATGGCCAAAGTACTTCAACTTTGTCTCTAGTATCCTGGCCTCCAGTGAGCAGCCGGGCTCACTGGAGGGATATATATATTGGAATATATATATTCCAATGGCCAGACCAAATTGCCATCTCTGTATCTCTCTAATTCAAAGGGAGAGAAAAAATAGTCCGAGTTGGGCCTCCGCTGTGGAAATAAAAAGCTGAGTCTCCCCTGTGGAAGCAAAAGTGGCACTGAGTAGTAGTTCCTCCTTGGCTTGCTTCCTGGAGATATGCTTGACCACATGGCTGTTTTAGAGATATAGATATATGGATAAGGTAATATACATCTGAAATACATCATGCTAGGTACATATGAAACATAAATGAATTTCATATTTAGACTTGGATCCTGTCTCCAAAATGTATATGGGAACTTTCCAAAATTTGAAAAAAACCCTTAAATCCAAATCATTTCTGCTCCCAGGCATTTTAGATAACGGATACTCATCCATTGTGTACATCAGGGGTCCTCAAACTGTTGGAGGGCCGGATTATAATTTGAAAAAAAACCATGAATGAATTCCTATGCACACTGCAAAAAACACTTAAAAACAATACAATAATTGAAAAGAAGAACAATTTTAACAAATATAAACTTATTAGTATTTCAATGGGAAGTGTGAGCCTGCTTTTGGCTGATGAGATAGGATTGTTATTGTTGTGTGCTTTCAAGTCATTTCAGACTTAGGTTGACCCTGAGTGAGGTCTGGGTAAATGACCTTGGAGGGCCGTATCTGGCCCCCGGGCCTTAGTTTGAGGACCCCTGATGTACATCAGTATAGCAACTCCGCATGGTAACTCAGGAGGTATGTGTGTAGATAGCCTACTTTATTTAGATAAACATTTTCTCATAATTGCATTGACTTAAAGCAGTGTTTCTCAACCTGGGGATCACAAGGGGGTTTCAGAGGGGTCACCACAGACCATTAGAAAACACATTTCTGGTGGTCTTAAGAATCCCTTTGGCAGAGAAGGCTAAAGATCTCTCCGCCTGTCCTTCTCTTCGTTTTTGGAGACAGATGGCAACTCCTCCCACCAAAAGCCCTCCTCCTCCTCTTTGGATGTAGGTGCACTAACACTCCAAAACTCAAGGTCATGCCCATCAAACCCTTCCAATATTTTCTGTTCATCATGAGGATTCTGTGTGGGAAATTTGGCCCAATTCTATCGGTGGAGTTCAGAATGTTCTTTGTAGGTGAACTATAACAACTCCCAAATGTCCAGGTCTATTTCCCCCAAACTCTACCAGTGTTCACATTTGGGCATATTGAGTATTCGTGCCAAGTTTGGTCCTGAACTATCATTGTTTTGAATCCACAGTGCTCTCTGCATGTAGGTGAACTACATCTTCAAAACTCAAGGTCAATGTCCACTAAACTCAGTATGTTCTGTTGGTCATGGGAGTTCTATGTGTGCCAAGTTTGGTTCAAATTTCATCATTGGTGGAGTTCAGAATGCTCTTTGATTTTAGGTTAACTATAACCCAGCAACTACAACTCACAAATGACAAAATCAGTCTCCCTGCCCAATCCCCCCAGTATTCAAATTTGGGTGTATTTGGTATTTGTGCCAAATTTGGTCCAGTTAATGAAAATACATCCTGCATATCAGATATTTACATTACATTACAATTCATAACAGTAGCAAATTAAGAGGTCACAGCATGAGGAATCTTGAGAATCACTAGTCTAAAGGAATTTACATTTAAAAATCATAATATAAATAAGACGTGCCTGCTACAAATCTTTACAATGTCTTTAAAAAATATTGCTATATGCATGTGCTTTTCTTTCATTTAGTCTGTTACTGGTTTCATGGGATCAGATTTGTATGTCTCCAGAATTTCAAACATCTGTGGAGTTTACCTGACTATGATTTTATTAGGTTAGATCTCTCCTTTACCCCCTTGAAGATGTAGTGATTATAAAATATATTTGCTTAAATAAGTGGCCACAGTAATAGTTTACCTACAACTCTGCAAAAGAAACTGATCACTATCATTTGTGCTTGACATGAATTTAAATTTAAAAATCTTACCCCATAACTTGAAAACACTACGTACGGTAATTAAGTTGCTTAATGTAGTTTAGGATACTGTTATGTTAATCAATCCAAGATAAATCTACTGGTTATACAGTCACACAATCATTTACTATCTGAAATATGCCAATATAGTATGCTCACAGCCTGTTAAGACTGCACTATAGCAAAAGATAATACACTCTTAATATTTTAGGAGGGGAAAATGTCTTACCTGTGGAATTCTGTAGGATGCACCAGATGGCAAATTATTCAACAGTAATTATTTCAAATTATTCACAGAATCCTATTTTACAGTACTTGTTTGGACATTTCATTTCCTCGCCCCTTTGCAAGCAACAAAATTTTCTAGCAACAGTTTCTGATGGATAAGCACTTTTAATTACATGAGCAAACAAATGAATCAGTTCCTTCTTTCAACACTGTCTTTTCAAGCAAGTATTCCCACACATGCATTTGTTATAATTTGTGAGATCACAGAACATTTATATACTCAGGAAGATTATTTTGTATAGATTATTTATGCCATAATTGTTTTATTGCTCATTTTCTCACATAGTTAGGGTTTTTAAAAAGTTGTTTTGGTTTGCTTTCAGGCTATTTCCAACATATGGTGCCCCAAAAAGGGAAACCTACCACAGGACTTTCTTAGCAGGATTTATTCAGAAGGTATTGTCGAAGGCTTTCATGGCTGGAATCACTAGGTTCTTGTGGGTTTTTTTCGGGCTATAGGGCCATGTTCTAGAGGCATTTCTCCTGATGTTTCGCCTGCATCTATGGCAAGCATCCTCAGAGGTAGTGAGGTCTGTTGGAATTAGGACAATGGGTTTATATATCTGTGGAATGGCTGGGGTGGGGCAAAGAGCTCTTCTCTGCTGGAGCTAGGTGTGAATGTTTCAACTGACCACCTTCATTAGCATTTGAAGGCCTGGCTGAGCCTGGGAAAATCTTTTGTTGAGAGGTGTTAAGATGTGCGTGGTTGTTTCCTCTCTGCTGTTTTGCTGTTATAATTTTAGAGTTTTTTTAATACTGGCAGCCAGATTTTGTTCATTTTCATGCTCTCTTCCTTTCTGTTGAAACTGTCCACATGCTTGTGGATTTCAATGGCTTCTCTATGTAGTCTGA